AAATGGGCATAAGCAACGAGTAATAGCATCAAAAGTATCCACCAATAAGTGTTCCAGTTTGCACTGGCGAACTACTCTCGAGAGACGATCCCGACGATCTGCAGCCGGTATGTGACCGTATCGAATATGAAACCAAGGCCGTCAGTGTGAAGATAACAATTTCAGAAACAAAGTTTATCACAACTTGTCTAGACCCACTACGCTCATACTCACGTCAGCGACGAAAAATTAAAATGGGTTGTCTGTTCAAGTGCTTAGGATCCACCATTCAGCCAAACGGTCAAGCCAAAGACGAAATCAGGTCTCGCATTACCTGAGAAAGAAGAACATTTTAACAACTTTGAAATCCCGTGTGCTTTTGCAAGAAAATAAGCCTCCACTGCACATCCATCCATTCGCCGTTCGCTCCTTCCTAACTTACACTTATGCGCAATAGGCCACTGAGAGTGGGCGACCAGAAGAACGTAGAAAACTCCGACCACTGGTACCCCTAATACATGGATAAAAATTAAGTCTTATAACCACTCTTGAAACTCTGTGATCAGTAAACATTGTGAGAATATGGGGAGGGTATCCTAGTTTCTCCAAAAACGCCATCTTCAGTAGTTTACTCGTGTCCTTTGCCGACCTGAAACAAAGCTCACAAGAACAAGCCTATCACCGGCACTTTATCTGAGTTGTAAATGTCGCCTTGGAAGCCCGCTGAGGACGTGGGTCAGTACAGTCCAATCGGATGCAGACGGCCTAGATTTTTATTCAGTTTTTCGAGCAAGTGACAGCACGCAGACCTTGCTGCAGGTAGCGACTTATGTACAGCTGTCATCGAGAACATTCAAGAAGCGGCGCTTTCCACTCGCAGAAGATAGCCACATAAGAACACAAGTAAATGAGCGGCTGCCTACTTCGATGCAACATGAAACCAACTAGACACAAAGAATGTGAGATAGAAATTCCTCCGATCTAGTCGCCATATCGCATTCATTGCCAGCGTGAATCAATATTGTACGCATTTCAAATGGTAAACTCGGGAGACAGTTCACAAGTCTGGATTTATGTATACACAAAAAACAAGCATGAGTAGAACAGACAAATGAAAAAAAGACAGAAAGTCCACTGACCAATTTTGTCATTGATGCAGCTACACGGCACCAGACGAATGTGAGTTGAAATCAGTTGTTTCATGCATTTCTGCTGATGTACAATCATCAGGCAAGTGTTTTTCCCAGATTCACGATTCGTTCATGTAATAAAAAATAATATTTGATTGCCCTTTCCTACCACCAAGTGCATCCAATGTGTCAGAGAAGCGTATGAAAGACCTGCACGGATTATCGATCACTTCGAATTGCCCGAATGACATGATACAAGTCGATCCGTGATTTCAATTTTTGAGCACGGACACAAAAGGAGGGCTCGATTTTCATGAACTTCTTTGACTGGGACAGGTCGTACGGTATTTGTCAAGAAATAATTGAGATTTTCAACTGATCACAAGTGGGAGGTTTGTGAATTAAAAATGGTATTGAAATTTCTTGTTTTTTCTCTGCACTGTTTTGGGACACTTGTTTGTCCGGTTAGAAATCACAAACTCCTCCTTATGAGTGGCTGTCAAACTCAGCTAATAGAAAAAAGTACTGTGAATCGGAATACTGTCCTATTTGAGCCACCTATTGATCTATCAACTTATCTGATCAGCAATACACTGTCAACGTGCATGTCATATTCTTTCAATTTGTCTATAGAATTTGCCCGAGAATCCAGAAATGACATAGCAGAGTCACTCAATTCGTGGTAAAACCTGAAATTAAGTAGCACAGGGGAAGAGTTACAAAGTTGTTTGTAAAACTTCTCTTTCATACTATCTTAAAATAGTTTGCAAAAATGTACAGCCCATTTTGTCTGTTCATATGCGTCTATCTTACCATACACCTGTTTTGGCACTCTTCATCTCCACTAGGATTCTTAGTAATCAGCCAGTAATGGGATCTTTGTCTAGATTCAATCTATCGTCTTTTGCTAAATTAGGGGAACACCTAGAGACGGCGATTGTTTTGACTTTGCTGCCTGCATTAAGCATGCACAAGCATTTGATCAGGTCTATACGATGTGATTGCTCCATCGTTTCACATTGTTTTGTTCCTCTCACCCGTGACCTCGAACAAGTAAACTCCNGATCTGCTTGGATCATGTTCCGCGATTTGCGGCACTTGGAATCCCCCACCCCAACACGCGACTATTTGATTACCGGCTTTTTTAATTCGCTTTTAATTCGCCACATAGAGTCCATCAGAGTGTTGTGATGGCACTCCTGCTGTACAGTCGAAGTTCACTGGGTCTGTATATGTTGAATTCCCTCAATTCCACGCTCACACGTGTGGAAAAAGTGTTTCTAGGTGGAGGCTGCAAAACCGTACCGTTTTCGCATTACCACACAAAACAACCATTCGAAATGGAAGCAAAGCTTGATAGCGAGAATCACAGAACCTAAGCGGACCACGCACACTCAAACACAGGTGGGCAGTGGGGGTCGCGCTGACATACTTTCAATGGAAGCACTTCCTTGTTAACCGCATAAAATGAAGACATAGCTTTGGTCCAAGAGCATAACCCGGCAACATCACCACAGACCCGTTTGGCTTGTTCCATATTGAAATCGTCCATCTCGAAATAGGGCTCCATCAGCTCCACCGTTTCCGCGTTTATAAGATCCTATGAGATGAAGATAGACAGTGAATGGAGATGTGCACATCAGTTGTTGGAAATCTGAGACACGGCTTAAACGAAACCTATCGACTCAATGTAGCAGACAATTAGCGTGCGTGCGTGGCATNTGCACTGATAACCTTGATCAACTAATCAATACAGTTTAAATAAAGCTAATGAACGAAATGAACGGTTATCATTGAGTTCCCACCTCGTTCAATTTATCGATCACTGTTCGGGCATAGTCACACAAAAAAGACTATGTATATTATGCATAAATACCTTTGGAAAGTTGAGTAATCCACTGAGAAAATTGGCCCCACCCATCAATTTGAGCGCTTCACCCCATGAGGGTTTTGGGCAGGGACGTTCGGGATCCGCTGTCACGGTATCCAAGTGCTTTTGAAACAGCNCGCATGATCAGATGAGGTGGTCGACCCAATTTGCGCACTATGGTGAACGAAGAGCGAGAGGGGGAGACAGGGATTGGCACCAAGAAAATTTTGAAATTACCGACGGGATAACAACATTGTGTACACATGTAAAACTGTGTATGGTAACACCTCCCAGACAGCCACTTATAGACACAAGATTAAATTATATGGAAAGAACAGCCATCGAACTGAGCTAGGTAGAGCAGGTGTGTTATTACACTAAGCGAATAGTTTCCGTCATTTTCTGTTTTCTCAAAAATACCGGCGAATCAGAAACAGAAAAGTAGTATATATGAAACTAAATTTGATTGAGTGAAATGTTATCTCAGATAAGCAATTGGATCAAACGTACCGGTTGATATATGTGTCGGTTTAATCGTTTCCAGTGCCGCCTCGGCTTCCTGCAGAGCTGGTTTGGCTGCCTCCAGCTTTTCTTCCGCATTCGCTTTATCCACACTGATTTGATCGACAAGAACTTGCGCCTTGTCTTTCACCACCTGCACCTGAGCTTTGACCTTTTGAGCCGCAGTCGCCTGTATGGTGACCTGGGCCAGTACCTCTTCCGATTTCTTGTTTGCAACGGCTAATTCTTTTTCTTTTTCAACCAGCTCTTTGGACAGCTCGTTTACCGATTCAGCCGCTTCGACCAATTTTTTCAACCCAGTGTTCATACGTTCAGCCAGTAAACCAATCTCTTTGCGCTTGGATGAATAAATTTCCATGTAACCTCCGATGAACGAGAGATATGATTTTGGTGTCACGTGTGTCTGACGACGGAAACGTTGGAAATAATCCAGGCACGATTCAGCAACCAAGTCCTACAGGCAATGACAGAGAGAGAGAGATTCGTATAATTCGTGTGACCCAGCACTGGATGGGAAATTGGTCAGCTACTGAACAAACAAGCGTAAGCAGGTAGGTAAAAGCCAAAATTAAGAGATTTATGGGCTTACTTGAAATACACCCATGGTTCGCACTACAGCTTCCTTCACTTTAGGTGTACACACTATATCAAACTTGGAGAGGAAATGGTTAGATACCGCAATCAGTGCATCCTTTGGCCATCGTTGGAACCAATCCATTGTACATCCGGAAATCAGCCCTGGGAATTTCAAACTACGATTGCGGAACTTCTGTCCGACCGGAGAAAAGCATAACACCACATGCAAATTCTTGATTACACGACTCATATAGTATTCACTGAGAGTTTCGTTTGTAATGGGTCGGCGTGGAAATTCCTTCTTCATAGGACTGGCCAACTCTTGCAAAATCTCGTCCATCTCATCTCGAGCAAACAGATTGGCTATCTCACCGGAGCTGAGCATATTGTTCAAATATTCCAAAAATGCTTCATCTTTGATCTCGTTGTCTGTGAATAGGAATGTCACACCGGCGCCGCGTTGCCCGGCTGTTCGATAGAGAGCTTTCAGATCCTCTGTCAGATTGTTTACATTGTAAGATCTAAGAAAGAGAGGCAATACATATGAAACGAACAGTTAGCAAAGCACTAACTTCGACAGAAACATGACAGCCATTATTCTATATTTTCAAAGCTGTGTCAAATTCAGGCTCATTTGAGGTAATCATAAAACTGAAAAGTGTCAGCGAAAGTTTTCCCAGTGGTTTAGAAACTGGAGTTATGTTGATTGCAATTACTCTCTGTGGCTCATGTTGTTGGTGTTGTAGTTGTTGTTGTTCAAAGGGCAAGGAATTTTTATGGGAATAACTTACAGGCTCATGTTTTTCTCGTCCTATAGGTTCGTGTGGTGGTTAAAAAACAGTGATGCATACAATTTCTTGTGTAAAATGTCACGTGAGACGTGCTTCTTCCACTGCTGCAGGCAGCTTCACTTATGCTGGGATGTAAGGTGCGCTAATGTTTCATCAAGTCTCAGTTTGAAAGATTCAATGCTTGGAGCACAGACGACGTAGGATGGGAGAGAGAGTTCCAGACTGAACACACTCTGATTGCCAATGACCAACGCCGGCATTCCAAGGGGCATTTTGAGACCACCAGTTTGAATGGATGTCCTCTAGGATAAACGTTGGATGATAACTTCAGAAGCGGGCTACACGAATGGCTTCGGTTTTGCATTATTTGGTATACCATAATCATATCTCCTATGAAGCTCCGGTAATGATTGGAATATAATCCCAGTAACTTCAGTCTCTCTGCGTATGAACACAGATTCAACCTCCTGACCATTTTGATGGCCATCATTTGTGGACGCTCCAGCATTTTGCAATCACGTTGTAGCCATGGATTCCATGCCTGGATGGCATACTGTGTGAGTGTGAGAATGTATACTGATAGTAGACGGGGGAAAAGCGTTGACTCAAACCGGTCAAAGACCCGCTTAAGCAAACCGACATTCTTTACAGCTGCGTTAGACACCTTGGTGCAGTTGAGTGAGCAGCTCAAGTTTTCTTGAATAATGATGCCCAGGTCCTTCTCACTTGCGTCGTGTGGCAGTTGTTCATTTCTGAGGAAATATGAGAATCGCCCCCTGTATCGTGGAGATATAACCTTACACTTTGGCACATCG